TACCTTATTTCCCTTGGTTCTCACGATGTTCTCTGAACATTACAGGATATCCCTTTTCGTAGGAACCAGAACATAAAAAAAATATTTCAATCATTATAGTTCTCTTTCGCGGCCTCTGGTGGCTAACTGTACAAGTCTTGCGAGTATGAACAACAAATATGGCGACTATTGTTTTGAATTTCATAAATATGTGTTTTATTCGGTGATAATTTATTTGTTGAAGTGCATATTCCAGAACCTCATTTCTCCCTGATGAAAAAACTCGAATTATTGCAGGAACTTTTATTGTTTACAATGAAGAAACCAGTACCTACCTTATAATAATATAATATACATTTTCTGAAGCACAATTAGAATCATTGTATAAATGTTGGTTGCAATAATGATTCGATCTTGAGAATAACTTCAAGTCCTCAATTGCTGGAGATTCTTGTTAATGTAAATCGATGATATTGTTCATTCTGAGCAGCCTCTCCAACCATATATCTTCTTTTCCAACCCCTTCACTAGAATTCGATCTCCTTCATGAAAGGCAGTGATATTTCTTGATGAATTCAAATATTTCTTCATACCTTGCAGTCCATGCAAGTGTTGAGTGGACCATTCCGACCATTCCATAAGTTTGAAAACTGTGGAATTGTAGTGAATGATGAATTCCACCATTGTCCACATCAAAATGGCAATTTCTCTGCAAAAAAAGTAATTTTTTCCATACTAGAAACCTTGTACGTACTTCAAGAAGTCAACTCATTATTCACTATTTTGTAAAATGATTTCGAAATAACCAATTTGCAATGAGTGCATACGGCAATGTTTTTGTTGTTCATACTCAGTTTGAAATTTGACGTTGATTTGACGTTTAATAGAGCCATCTATTGGTTCGTGATTTTCGCGAATAATAGCCATGACTTAGACAGCATATTATTATGTCAATCTCTGCGGATATCGCATTAGAACAGTGAATTCGGGTTGATTATAACAGAGGTGGCTATGTCATTATTGACTGGTGGTTCATAAAACGACGAAAACTACCTTGGTAGTAAAAACACACTTTACACCTCGAAAAGGATTGAATAATGGTAGGTTCTACGCTAGTGGTGGAAAAAAGATGTTTATCTTGCAAAAGTCGGAGTCATGATTTCGGTATATGTTGCTCAGTTTGGAGTCCCGTTAAAAAATCTAATAGCGAATTTCATTGGTAAAACTGGCTCGCACTGAGAGCAAATTTTGTATTCTATTGGTAAAACTGGTGGCAGGTTTTGAAACTCATTGGAAAAGTTGAGATAGGGACATGTGACTCGTTTTGGCCGATAATAAATAGTTTCTGCATTGCTGAAAATATTTCAAATGAAGAGAACGTATTCTAAAATATAACCATGCATATTTTTATGGATTTCTCCCTAGTGATACTCGGAATAGAGATAGTGTAAGCTCGTCGTGACATACCCTGTATATATGGAAAGACCAAAATGAAATAGATATGTGATGTTAAATCGACTAATGTGAACCCCATTATTACTGATACACATCCTAATCCTGAGATCTATCGCACAAAGTTGCGAAAGAAAAAGTATTGATAAGGAAATAACCAGATAAATACATCCAGAAAATTCAAACACTTCGTGGCGTTTTCAATATATAATTCATTTCCCTTTTTTGATGTGTGAACAATATCCTGGAATATCTTTTCCACTTGAACGACATTCTTTATAGGCATCATGACTTTTTTTATGATAATAATTCAGAATGAAATTGAGGCCGTAAAGACGTCGCTACATCACGTTATCATGAGATTATTTCAACAAACTATTTCTATCGAGGAAAATATTCTTGAAAAGTACTGTGAAAAATTAATGACAGTTCACTTGTTGACAATACCTCTCACCTTCATTTGGAAATAGAGATTGGGGTAACTAGTTAGGAATGGCGTCATTTTGTGTGACGATGGGATTTTGCGGAAAGAGCTAAGCGAGATTTCGCACAGAGTAAACCACACAATATTTTTTCTAATATTGATGAAGAATCTCGCTTGAAGAGAAATAATGACTAGTTCTACATGAATTCTTTACCGATTATGCACAAAATTCGAGCCATCGTTCCTCGAAGTTAACCACACAATAGTCCTGCACGATTCGCTGTTGCGTTCCAATTAACAGTGCTGCTCCTAAAGTGACGCATGGAGGTAGTAACAAAGCCTACACAAAACACGCAGAAAGAGATGATGATGTGGCTGTGAGCATCAGAGAAGAAGTAGGATGTTGTATGTAGGTGGGTGTGGAAAACTACCAGCTGAGCGTGAGAGCGGGCCAATGCCCCTAAAGGGGGTTAACAAGAATAGCTAGCAGGCCTGCCACTGCAGCATATGGTAGTGAGTACATCACTAGCCTACAAAACACAGACGAATAAACTCTGAAAGAGAGCTGATGGACGGTGCCTGAGAAGGATGTTAGCCAGCTCTCTTGATCGAACCACATCATTCATTGAAAACACCATGGGGCTTGCAAGAATTCCCATCAGGGACTAGTTGCTGACGTGCAAACGTCCCCCACCTGTACCAGTAATAGTAACCACACAAACCGGTTCAACAATTGGTTAACCAGTTAATTTTCCTTGAAGTGTATTCCAAACTATGACGTAATAGTTAACCAACTACACACAGCAGCTCACTGAGGTAGTTCACGGAGTAGTTAAGGATTTTGATTGGGCACTGGATTGGGCTCTTGTTGTTATTATCATATGAGGTTATAATTGATGAAAAAGAAGAATTATACTTCTTATTAAACAGATAAGTTATATTGGATTCATACAAAGTATTTTTCGATGAGAGATCTCATCATATTATTGATGGAAATAAATATTTGATTCTTTGTAAATATGTACGTAGCGAATTGTTCCAATAGTCTTGAATTTGAAGTAGGTAAGTACCCGAAGTAGTTAGTTCATATCTATGATATATTTGTGTTATAAAGTAACCGTGACGTCATGATAAAGTTCACCTGGTTTGTCTGATTACGTTCGAGGAAAAATGACTTTAGTAGGCAAGTTGACTTTGAAGTATCCGTCAAACAATAATATGGTCACAAATCACGAAATAGACTCGTTTGATATTTTCATTAGTGGGAAATGGCTCATTCAAGTTCAGATTTCCCAAGTGATATCGAGGAAGCAGCACAAAATGCACTATTCAATCTTTCTGCGTCCATCAATATTTTATCAATAGTCAGTGAATATGTTACTTCACAAAACTGCTAAAATTGAGACCTTCCTGAATTTCCGTCAGTGTCAAAAATAAAAAACATCAATTCAAAGAATCTGTATTTTGAGTCGTTTCGATAATGACTGTTCAATGATTTGTTGTATTGTTTGTGGAGACTAGAGCTGCCAAATTGACTCAGTTTTCCTCTTTTGTGCCTTATCAAAATACCTACTGAATAATAACAATTTCGAATTTTCAAAAAAATCTGAGTTATTGGAACTTTCATTTGCACTCGCATCTCTTTCTGATAGTAAATTCAGAAATGGTCCCGAAGATTCCGAAAGTATATCTGATTATTGTATATTCCAATAAAATGTGAAGAAGACTAAATAGGAAGATACCTTCGCTTCTATTTAAACCGACTTTTTATCTCTGATAATAACGAAGTCACTCACATGCGGCATGAATCTAGGACACACTGCACTTTATATTTTCGGGATGAGTACCTATAATAAGAATGAAGAATTCTCGTTACACTCTCCATTTGTTGTTTCTTTTTCCCAAACTTTTAATATAATGCTTCTCCACCCACCATCACTTCTCAGTTTAACACTTCAGCAAAGTCGGAGAAATATTACCGAAAAATTTCTAATAGTCATCTTTAGTATACACTCTGCCCATAAAGTATTATCATTTCCCCCTAGATAGATATTGAATTGCTGGGTATCATTTTTTGCTTCAATGGTAGTGGTACATTTTGATTCATCAAAATGGCGGATGACATTTGACAGATGACCGACCCTGATGGAAGAAAGACGATTTTCCAAATAGGTACATTGTGATCTAAAATTACTGTAGTCATTCACATGATTTTCATTTTGAAATTTGATCAATTCTCTTCAGAGTTCATTCTGCAATAGGACCTAATAGAAAAACTTTTGAGGTTTCTAAAAGACGGCAAGAAGCTTGGATTCATGCTATTAAACGGAAAGAAATATGCTTGTTTGAATCAATAACTCAAGAACATAATTCTTCTGCCTAAATAATTGTGGAAAACTACTAAGGGTATGAGGTTGTTTCAACTCTAAGGTCGATCATCTGTCAAAAGTGCACGCGACCTATGTTTGGAATCTCATGTGTGATCTTCAACTCAATATTGGCATCAATGAGAGTTCTATATCCAGAGAAATGTCAACAGGAGGCCATCTTGGGAAAAATTCAAATGGCATGGTAGTCAATATGTTATTCCAAATATCCTTCAATTCAATTATTCCAATCTCTGTGGAATTGATGAAATTTCATTTTGAAATCAGAAGAAAAATGTTCATTTTTAATTTCTTCAATATTCCTCCCGACATTTTTTCAGATAGGAAACTTTTTCTAGATGCCAATAGATAGTTGAAGATCAAACGAAAACACGTTGCGAGACATTCAGTCGATGATCCTGATGATGGTTGAGATTTCAAACAATATACATATCATTCGCATTCTGTTTCGGATGAATATTTTTTATTTGAAATTATGGTTTTCTATTTATAGATAATCAAGAGACCTTCCATACGGAGAATCACTAGACCAAATTATATATTAAAAAATCTTCCAAAATTTTGAAAGATCCATTTTTCTTATCGGAATCGAAATGTAGCACTCGGAGTACTATCCATACAAAAAAACGCCTTATTTTAATCTCAACCGTTCAAAAATTACCTATTGGTGGCTTTATGATTCGTAATGATTGATAATCCTGACGTAAAAGGGTTCCAATCTCTATTTCAAAACATTTCACGAAAGTTTTTCTTTTCAGTCCAACCCTTCGGACTTTGTATTCAGGTGCGCAGAAGTCTCAAAAAGTGCAGCTTCGACGAATATCATAAGCGCCACGACGCTCCACCAGAAGATCATGTTGCTTTGCAGAGATATCAGGCGTCAGATTCTCGTTTAACTCGTGAACTTCGGGAAAGTTGCGTGTTGGTTTCAACGAATTGAACTTTATCAGATTCTCGGTGGTTGGAGTTGGAAAATCATCAAAAACTGCAAATTATCCACCGATATAGTTGATTCATTGGTGAGTACTTTTACTGCTATAACAATAAGATATCTTCAGAGGTCCTACCTCAGTTGTTGGAATTTCAATAATAATTATAATGATAATAAACTTTATTCTCCTTTTGAAAGTTACAAAAACCATATAGGAATATAATCAAGGGAACAAAACAGTGATATATTATTGCATCCTTAAGTTAAATAATCTTTAAGCGAGTAGTAACATGGTGATGTCAAGAATTCATTGAGTTGGCTTTCTTCAGACTATTGGGTAGTCTATTGAGAAGCTTTCGTGCTGACAAATTTGGTGCAATTTTGAGTTTTGCAAAGGGTAAATAATAAATATTATTCTGCCAAGTATGATAATTAGGTAGGTCACTATTCAAATTATGCTTTTCCTTATTCCTAAAAACAAACATACACATTTCAAATATATAGATACTAGTGACAGTTAGAATTTTGCATTCCTTGAAAATCGGTCTACAAGAAGTTCTCCATACATCGTAATATCCTCTTTTGTGCAACCAACACGTTGGTCACTGCTACTGAATTACCCTACAAACAAACTGCATATCTCAGTCGAGAGTTGAGCAAAGTATAAGTTCGAATGTTGTTGTTTATTCAATAGGAATCTTATAATTCTCGATAAAAATGTGAGAGAAGATAGTTTTGAGACAAAAATCGAGCATTGAGATCTCCAGTAGAGATATTCATCCATAAAGACACCTAAAAATGTAACTTTTTTTTTGTTCAACATTTGCATTATCACCGACCAGATTTATAGATACTGCACTTTTTTGCCATGTATGAAATGTCACTAAGCTAGTTTCAGTTGGATTGGGGTGAATATTATTGGAAGAAAACCAGGTACTGAGAGAGTCTAGTTCTACACTAGTATTTTCAGCAATATTGTCATCACTTTTGTCTGATATCATTAGATTAGCATATAAAATAAAATTGGTATAGGGTGTTATGGCACGTTTTCCATTTATATATGATATATGATTTAGAGAAGCGTGAATATGCTTTCAATTTATGGCTACATCATATAAACTTCTCACTAAAGTTGTAAAGAAATTGAAATGTTGGGGTTAAAGGAAACAAAATACTTCAACAAGTGAGATCCTTTGCCATAAATTCAATGTTCCTAAACTTCCAGAATAGTTGCATTTTCTATCAGTCAATAAATAAATATATATACAGGGTGGCATTGAAATGAGTGCGAAAAGAAAGCTCCCTATTCATTTGGCAACAATATGAGAACAAACTGAATAATTAAATCACGATTCCATTAGGACAAGTTTCATCTAATTCGATTTTCTTGAATGGTTTTTCCAAAGCAGATTGAATCTGAGTGATGGAAATAAGAAATTATTTGATGAAATTTTGATCATGTATACAAGTATTCATGAAGATTATACAATTATTCACATTTGTGAATCTGCGGAAGGCTATAGTACATCAACGTATAATCAATCACTGATTAGAAGGAGTGCTAATCGGTGGTATATTCCTCAAATCAGGATCTCAAACGTTTTCGGCAACATTGCCATCATCAGCGAGATTCCTGAAACTGAATTAACGTTCGTTGTTGAATCAACGTGTTGAAAACTCATTCCTCAGGTTAGAATTTGAAATATTCGAAAATAATGAAAATATCTCATTTGTCAAAAATCTCTACGAAATATTTGCTCCCATGCTCATCACGGTGATCATGTGGATGATCATTATGAATATTTCTCGATACACTCCTATTTTGATAATGGCATCACCACTTATGCCATTTTTCATACAGACTTCTGACCAATGACTTGTTTCTATCACTCACCTGATGAGAAGGCACTGTTGAAAAATACGTTGGTGTACTATAGCTTTCGATACTTCGTCATACATATTAGATATATATTCCAAAGTACATACAATATTTTTCTGAATGTAAAAAGATTATTTTTCATTACATAATTTGAAAAAAAAATCACTTCATCATCATTCAAATGGTGATGTGATGTGTGCTGCATATATTTCGTAATAAAGCGATATTCGGGGATCTAAACTGGAAGATGGACAATGGAATATTAGTATTTTCTTCAGAGTTCTTCGAAATCAAATCAGATTCTCAAAATTTCAACATATTCTCACTTACTTTCAAACATCCAGCTTATTATGGTGATTGATGGAACTTCAAATGATTCATGAAGGAATTTCGAGTTGGCATTCGTGAAGGATGCCCTTTTTCAGACGACTGCGTCCATTTGAAGTAGTTCACTGTATTCACGAGTTAGACTTTGATGTACTTATTGCCTTGCTGAATTTTCCGTGAAAGAATTTCCACTCTTTAACTCCGAATACAATATGGAGAGCTGTTTTCTCCTCCTCATGATATATCTAGTCTGATGCAGAAGGCTTATTTATCACCAGCATAAGTTGCGGTCTGTTCAGTACCAGAATGACAGTAGAATGAATAATTGTTTCCCATAATATACCTTCTATATTCACATTTGATAGGAAGACATTCCAGTTGAATACATGGTGTCTAGGAAGTGTAGGTAAACATTAGCGAAACTATCGAAGATACGCATAAGAATTTTTTTCATTCTCATCTGATTTCCTATACCAAGGGGTAGCTAGTTCAGTAGTATTTCTCTATCATTATTCAATTTATTCCATTTGATCATAATATATGATTTCTTCTAGCTATATTTGTATCTTCCTATGAACTGGGTTGACACGCTGGCTTCTTCAGATCTGTGATGATTTTGGTTCTTGTTCCCAAATGGAGACTCTTGCAACAGTGTTCTAATGTCCCTCATCGGCCATGGTGGATTTTCACTATTTACGGCATGCGGATGCAAGGAAGTGAATTTGGTCAGTTCCAGGGTTGCCATCTTAGCGGTTTTGTCGCTAAATCTGGATCTAGAGTGTTCAGGGTAGATGAATGCGACATTTCAACTAGATTTGCGTCTTGTCGGAATTCTAGCGTTTTAAACCTGGTTATAGCGGTTTATATGGAGATATTTTGATCACATGAATTTGTGACGACGAATATGAATTCACATTGGAATATTTGAGACGAAGAGATAAACAGAGAAGAGAATGACAGATCATTTGTGCCACTTCTGGCACTTTTGAATGATGTTTTGTACATTTCGATATGGATTAAGAAATTTTTGTGCATGTTAGGATTTTATGTTGCCTAAATAAGTATTGATGCTTATAGAAACAACGCAGTATGATGTTGAACAGCTAGAAATATGAGTTAACACATGCTCCCATACATGATTTGAGAGGTTATTTGTGTGATTTGATTCTGATTTGATCAAAGAAAAACTTCAAATCATACGAACGAGAAATGGATTTTGTGATTCACCAATGTAATAGTAAAGAAATACTGAATGGAATTCAATAGGAAAATGTATATTTATTTTGTTTTCCCTTTTTTTTTTTTGTTTTGTTTTAATTAAAGTTTTCTACTACGATGTTCTATCTGATGTTATAAACTAACTGAAAATGAGGAAATGTGATCGAAAATCATATCCCGTATAAGTCGCTAAATTTTCAAAAATTTCGCCTGTGGCGGGCTCTCTACTCGCTCCGTTCGCTATAGCGACTTCTAGCGGTTTTTTTTTTCGTGATTTCTTGCTACATTTCATATTCAGCAGCTGGCAACATAGTTCGGTTCAAATTGATGAATGACTCGATGTTTCATCGATGTGGCAATCTGTTGAAAGCCAGTGTATAATGCGTGAGAATTAAATAATCTAGTGCTCGAAATAAAATTGTTACTGTGTCTACCAGAAATAGTTTCTGACATTGTATATCAACAAATCACAATTCAATTAATCATCTCATTTCGAAATTCAATTTGTTCCTTTTTATTATAATATATGATTTCCTCTAGCTATATTTGTATTCTCCCAAGAAGAAGAATATCATGTATAATTTGGCAACGCTGTACAATCGTTTCATTTCATGCAGCGTACATACGACAATTATCACAATTTGTGAGCGTACCTACCTTCACTCTCTGAAAAACATGAAGTGTCAAAAATGTTCCAGGCACTCTATGTATACAGGGTTTTAGTGAATATGTGCGACAAAGTGATATTTCAGGAAATAAAGTTTATGTAAACATGTATCCTAACTTGCTTCGTTTTTGATATATTGGATGTTGAAGTTGAAAGTTTCTATTGTTTTTATTTATGACGCCCTTGTATGAGCTTTCATGGTGCCAAAATTCAGTTTGGTTTAAGACTGAGAAAGTCCCAAAATTTCAAAATGATTCTCATTGAGGTTATTGAGTAATCATAATGAATGTTTTGAGAGCACCTACATTACAAATTGGAGTCAAATCGAATTTTCTTTGTTTCCTCAAATACTAAGCGAGATACAAAAGAAACACAGATGATAAAAAAGTTGATATTCAATTGTTCAATCTGATAAAAATATGTTATTCAGAAATACCAGTGGCGTACAATCTATTTTTGCTGATGACACTAGCATTATCATCAGCGGCCATTCAGTTGATGACCTCACCTCAAAATCACAAAGTGCGATGGACGGTATAGCAGACTGGTTTTCAGCAAATAAGTTATCATTGAATATATCTAAGACTCAACAGATACTGTTTAACCCTTATAGAAATTTCCAAGATGTTGAGGTAACTCTGAACGATGAAGCAATCTCTTCGAACGAATCAACTAAATTTCTAGGGATCACTATTGATATAAAACTAAATTGGATGGAACACATAAAGCAGCTGAATACCAAACTGAACAGAGCAACTTTTGCATTGCAAACTGTCCAAGCGAACACAAACTTTCAAGTCTCGAAAATGGTATATTTCGCATATTTTCACAGCCTGATGCAATACGGAATAGAATTATGGGGTAATTCTGTAGGTTCCCAAACCACGTTTATAATTCAAAAACGAGCCATCCGTACTTTGTTCAAATTGAACTATCGAGAATCTTGTAGAGAGTGTTTCCTTGAAAATAAGATATTTACTTTGACAAACACATTCAT